GGGCCACATTAACATTAGCTGCCCCGCCCATTCTGCTGACACACGTGGGCCACATTAACATTAGCTGCCCCGCCCATGCTGCTGACGCACGTGGGCCACATTAACATAAGCTACCCCGTCCATGCTGCTGACACACGTGGGCCACATTAACATTAGCTGCCCCGCACATGCTGCTGACACACGTGGGCCACATTAACATAAGCTGCCCCGCACATGCTGCTGACACACGTGGGCCACATTAACATTAGCTGCCCCGCCCATGCTGCTGACACACGTGGGCCACATTAACATTAGCTGCCCCGCCCATTCTGCTGACACACGTGGGCCACATTAACATTAGCTGCCCCGCCCATGCTGCTGACACACGTGGGCCACATTAACATAAGCTGCCCCGCCCATGCTGCTGACACACGTGGGCCACATTAACATTAGTTGCCCCGCACATGCTGCTGACACACGTGGGCCACATTAACATCAGCTGCCCCGCACATGCTGCTGACACACTTGGGCTACATTAACATTAGCTGCCCCGCACATGCTGCTGACACACGTGGGCCACATTAACATTAGTTGCCCCACCCATGCTGCTGACACACGTGGGCCACATTAACATCAGCTGCCCCACCCATTCTGCTGACACACGTGGGCCACATTAACATCAGCTGCCCCACCCATGCTGCTGACACACGTGGTCTACATTAACATCAGCTGCCCCACCCATGCTGCTGACACACGTGGTCTACATTAACATCAGCTGCCCCGCCCATGCTGCTGACACACGTGGGCCACATTAACATTAGCTGCCCCACCCATGCTGCTGACACACGTGGTCTATATTAACATCAGCTGCCCCGCCCATGCTGCTGACACACGTGGTCTACATTAACATCAGCTGCCCCGCCCATGCTGCTGACACACGTGGGCCACATTAACATTAGCTGCCCCGCCCATGCTGCTGACACACGTGGGCCACATTAACATTAGCTGCCCTGCTCATGCTGCTGACACACTTGGGCTACATTAACATCAGCTGCCCTGCCCACGCCGCTGAACACACGTGAGCTACATTAACATTAGCTGCCCATTCTGCTGACACACGTGGGCCACATTAACATTAGCTGCCCTGCCCATGCTGCTGACACACGTGGGCTACATTAACATCAGCTGCCCTGCCCATGCTGCTGACACACGTGGGCTACATTAACATCAGCTGCCCCGCACATGCTGCTGACACACGTGGGCTACGCCCATTTTAAACTTCATAAACAGTTTTCCTTTTACCCCATTTTCCTGATGACGACCGCTTGTGTTGCGATAGAAATATCGTAGTTTTTTTTGTTATTTTCTTTAAACCTATCTACGTGACTTTACCGAAAGACCCAAAGAATATGAATTCCTGCAGTCACGAAAGCTTTAAGTCAAGATTTAATACAAAAACAATTTCGAGTGCAACGTTTCAGAATGGTAAATCACAAAAATAGTGCGACTGAAAAGATGCACTCGCAAAAGGTGACGCGGCCCCATGGAGTTGTACGCGTAAAACACAAAGTCGTTTCATGCGGGAAAACGATACGTTCTAATATCCTAACAATTTTCTGTAAAAAAAAAATTACAAATTAGAATCGATTCCATGATTCCGGTCACCGACTCAATAGAATCGATGCCACGGGGGTTACGCTCCCGGGGCTCTGACGTCATCTCCGGCGCGCGCGCGTGCAGGTGGCGGCTGCCCCCCCGCCCCGCCCCTTAGCGCCCTCGCCCCGCCCCTTACCGCTAACGCCCCGCCCCTTAGCGCCGTCGCCCCGCCCCTTACCGCTAACGCCCCGCCCCTTAGCGCCAACGCCCCGCCCCTTAGCGCCCTCGCCCCGCCCCTTAGCGCCAACGCCCCGCCCCTTAGTGCCTTCGCCCCGCCCCTTAACGCCCCGCCCCTTAGCGCCAACGCCCCGCCCCTTAGCGCCCTCGCCCCGCCCCTTAGCGCCAACGCCCCGCCCCTTAGCGCCAACGCCCCGCCCCTTAGCGCCCTCGCCCCGCCCCTTAGCGCCAACGCCCCGCCCTTAGCGCCCTCGCCTCGCCCTTACCGCTAACGCCCCGCCCCTTAGCGCCAACGCCCCGCCCCTTAGCGCCTTCGCCCCGCCTCTTACCGCTAACGCCCGCCCTTACCGCTAACGCCCCGCCCCTTAGCTCCAACGCCCCGCCCCTTAGCTCCAACGCCCCGCCCCTTAGCGCCAACGCCCCGCCCCTTAGCGCCAACGCCCCGCCCCTTAACGCCCCTGCCCCGCCTCCCTTAGACCACCACTGGCCCCTCCCTCTCGCGGCGTGCGCGCGCGCGCTTCCGGGGGGCGCGTGGGTGCCGCGGCAGAGAGGTAAGCGACGCGCCGCGCGCGGGAGCCGCTCAAGCTGTGGCGAGCCCGCCGCGAATTGTCCACCACCTCCACCTCCAGCACCTCCACCACCGCATCCACCACCAGCGCCCCTTTACAGACGCTCACTCGCTCGCTCGCTCGCTCTTCCCGCTCTTTCTGCCGCCCGCTCGAGCTCGCCCCTCGTGAGACGGCGGCGCTTGCCCGCCCGCCCGCCTGCCCGGGTTGTGTGGTGGTGTAGGGGGGTGGTGGTGTAGGGAGGGTGGTGGTGTAGTAGGGGTGGTGTAGTAGGAGGGGTGGTGGTTGTAGGGGGGGCGGTGGTGTAGGGGGGGGGCAACCCTCAGCTGGGGGGGGGGGGGTGGGTCGCGCGCTTTCTCCGCCCCCACCCCCCATCGTCCTTCGTCATCGTCGCCGTGTCGCCGCGGCCTAGTTGACTCGTGCTTCACTTGGCACCACCACCAGCAGCACCAGCACCACTACTCCCAGCACCACTCCCAGCAGCACCACTAGCACCACCACTAGCACCAGCACTAGCACTAGCACCACTAGCAGTACCACCACTACCAGCACCGCCACTACCAGCACCACCAACACCAGCACCACCACCAGGACCACCACCACCACCACTCCCAGCACTACCACCAGCACCACCACTACCCACCACTACCACCACTACTACTACCACCACTACCACCACCAGCACTACCAGCACCACCACTACCCACCACCACTACCACCACTACCACCAGCACTCCCACCACCACCACTACCACCACCACTACCAGCACCACTACCACCACCACTACCCACCACCACTACCAGCACTACCACCACCAGCACTACCACCAGCACCACCACTACCACCACCACTACTACCACCACCACTACCAGCACTCACCACCACTACCACCACCACTACTACCATCACCAGCACCACCACCACTACCACCAGCAGCAAGCCTCTGCACCTTCACGCTGTACGAATTGGATGCATTGTTGACTATCAGCGGGCCACGCGTTACATTGCCACTACGACGTAGATCTGTGGGCATCTATTCACGACCCCGCGATGTACCACGATCTCGCTTCCCAACCTCGGCCTTCACGTAGCAGTGGATCGAGCAGGACTTATTCTGACGAGGTCCCCGTGGTGAGGACCAGGTTGTTGCGGACTTGCCGTCGTGAAGTGCTCCGTTAGCGATGATTTAAAACGTTTCCCACCGCTTTTAATTGTATTGAACCCATGATAAGGTCATGCAATTGAGTTTTCTTGGGCAGAACCGCGCTCATTTGTGCGCTTTAACGGCTCTTCCTTGTGAATGGGATCTAGGCAATTGCTGATAATAACTAGAGGTAATTTAACACTCGTGTAATTCGAAGCAATTTTAAGTTTAATAGTATTACTATTCGTTAACCCCACCATACAAATGAAACTGTACAAGTTGTACAGTATAGTATTATATAGCCACAGCTGTGTGAATGGTCTGTCACTCGTTGTATCCGTGATTGATTTAAATGACCCATCACCTGACACGTATTTAGCAAATAGTTATTATGCATCATATTCTCAGTCACCCTTCGATTCAAAAGGTTGACACAAGAACTGATGACGAGAATTACAGACCCGTTAGCCCCTGATGATTTACTACCCGGCATTGCCCAGGAGAAAAATATATTTCAAAACTTCTCTTAAAAACTTTTATTACATCTACAATCTTGATTTGAAGCTTTCGTGACTGCAGGAATCCTACGTGACTTTACCGAACGAACCAAGGATTATTACATACACATACGAAGCTATTGTGAAAGCCCGGTAGGCCGTTTGTCCATTTCTCCACCAACAAAGCCATCAGAGGCTTGGAGAAGCCCAAAAAGTAATAAAAAGTGGGGGGTAAATAGTTTGATGTAAAAGGTTTCCGAAAATTGTCGACCCCCCCCCTCAAAACATTTTTACCCCTGCGTAGGTATATATACCTACACACTCTACATACAACTACAGAGTAAGTAGTATCTATTTACTCTAGTTGTAGCTACTGACTGTACAGTAGTATTTACTGACTGTAGTAACTACTGACAGTAAGATCTACTGGCCCTACAGTACTATCTACTGACTATACCAATAGCTACTGACCGTAGTAGTATCTACTGACTAGCAGTATTTACTGACCGTCGTGGTATATACTGACTGTTTTAGTATCTACTATCACTACAGCAATGCATACCCACTGGTGGAACCTGCTATCACTACAGCAGTGCATACTGACTGTGGTGGTACCTGCTATCACTACAGCAGTGCATACTGACTGGTGGTACCTGCTATCACGACAGCAATGCATACCCACTGGTGGAACCTGCTATCACTACAGCAGTGCATACTGACTGTGGTGATTACAGCAGTGCATACTGTGGTGGTATCTACTTTCACTACGGCAGTGCATACTGACTGTGGTGGTATCCTATCACTACAGCAATGCATACTGACTGGTGGTACCTGCTATCACTACAGCAGTGCATACCGGCTGTGGTGGAACCTGCTATCACTACAGCAGTGCATACCGACTGTGGTGGTGCCTGCTTTCACTACAGCAGTGCATACCGACTGGTGGAACCTGCTATCACTACAGCAGTGCATACCGACTGTGGTGGTTCCTGCTTTCACTACAGCAGTGCTTACTGACTGTAGTGGTACCTGTTATCACTGCAGTAGTACATGCTGACTCTATAGCAGTATATATCGACTCTATAGCACAAACTACTAACTTGACAGAGTGTCGTCGTGAGGCCTAGTCCCTGCAGAGCCCCCGGCCTCGCCTAGATTGCCCAGCCGGCCGAGGTGGCACCTTGGCAGGCTGGCCGCTACCTACGCCCCCCCCACCATCCCCCTGCCCGCTCTACGATAATAGTATCTAAGTGCTATAATATTAGTATCTAACGACCCTATAGTAGTAAGTGCACACATTGGGGTTGGGGGGGGGGAGAAGAGGACATATTACTTTGAAGAATTTATCTCAGCGTTGTGTGTATTTTCTTTTTAATTTTTAACGTGTGCATTGCTAGGGGCAACCCCCGGTCAGCTTTGTCTCGCATGCGCAAATGCGTGCTTTGGCGCTCGCAGAGCGGCGTAAGGAAAGAAATAGTAAATATCACTAAATTGTTAATTTAGCTTACTTTAAAGTTGATGGATGGGAAAACGTAATATCGCTGGCTCACCACAGTGTTTATGGCGTGGTACTTGGCTACTTTTTTAAAAATGTAAAACCCACGGTTTGCGAGCCAAATCCTTCGCAAGTTTCATACACAGACAGACACACAGACACATAGAGACAGACAGACAAATAATGCCTATTATAGGTAAGATGAACATAATTGGGAACAATGGGACAATTAGTAGCCAACGAAATCACATTCTGGAAAAGATAAATACATTTTTAATTTTGTGCCTGAGTTTTGTAGAGTGTGTATGGAAGGGGATTTCAACCAATGTCTATTTTTGTAGCCATCCGCCATCCAAGCTGCTGCAAAACTGAGGCTTAAGTAAAATATATTTCGAAATTAAAACAGTTGACAAGGATGGAACACCACATGAAGAAAGTAATACAACATATGAGAAGCGGGAGTCGGAATAGGAAACAACTTTTATCAAATTGTTTCACAGCGACTTGAGAATTGACATTGGAATTTGGGCACAGGATAAATGTGCAAGTTCACAACACTATTGAAGATGTTTATTGGAGAAACACAACTGTTAAACAGATCAAAGTATGCTTACCAATGTCAGGTATCGCAGATGGACTGAGATTTGTAAAACATTAAATAAATAGACGGATGAGAGCAGGTTGGAGTACATACCAATGTGCCTAAATATGAAACATTTCGGTCGGTGTGTATGAACATGTGTGACATGGATCGGATACAAGGAATCTGGCAGAAAATTTTACAATTGGTGAAAGTGCGTAATTAAGCGTGGAGAGAAGCCTGCTTCGAATTATACTGAGACACAAAGAAGAACACATGGACCAGGGAACACACACATTAGAGACACATTGACTTTATGAAAGTGAGCTTGGTCATAGAAAGGATCATGGCTGGTGGCTGAGCTTTGATGACAGTGGCAGCCAAAGGAGAGAACATGCCCAAGAGCACATCCACCACGGAGATGGAGGAATGCGATCAGCTCAAGTGGAGGAGCTAGATGGATTCTTGCATTCCAAGTAGTAATGGCTTGGGGAGGCATTCATCTAGTAGTGGATAGATCACGACCGATGATGCGGCTACATCTATCTACATTTCTATCAACGACAGAAAGATAAATATTGACTGATTAAAACCCAAGTTATGTTCTAACTTCTACATTTCAAGCCATCCCAAAGCATATAATCTCACTGGATTATCACCTGTTTAAATATACGAGGTTTTGTTCAGTGGTGTGCATTTTACTGAACAAATCTTTGTCATTAATGATTTATCCCCAAAAGCCTCATACTAAATGTTTCACGTACTGAAGAACAAGATGCGGTACAGTCAGGAAACATGTAGGTTAGCTATACAGCAAAAACGTGGAAACCTACATCTAATCATTACACCGGTTAAGAAAGTTTGACATTTGACGTATGTATGTTTAACTTTTTTCGCACCCGTGCATAGCTAACCGTACTCATTTGGAGGTGCCACACGGCTGACTTATATTTCGTCGTGAGAGCCGGGAAATACATTGTGACTGCCACATGGTGTGTGTATCTTACAGTGATGTGGGCCGTGTTATGGAGGGGTGCGAGTTTGAGTCGTGGCTGCAGCAGGTGTCGCGGGGCTTCGTGTCGCTGTCGGACGGGCAGCGCAACGCTGTTCTGGACGTCCTCATTGCCAGCAGCGGCCCCACGCAACTGCGGCACCTGTCGACGCAGCTCGAGTCACTGCTGAAGCGTGACTTCCTGCGCCTGCTGCCGCTGGAGCTCAGCTTTCACCTGCTCAAATGGCTGGACCCCAGGAGCCTGCTCACGTGCTGCCTAGTGTGCCGCTCGTGGAATAAGGTCGCTGCGTAAGGCCCTCTGTAGGGGCGTTTATGCTGGGGTGGCCATCCCCGCTTTTGCCGTCGTTCTCGCTGAGCTCTGTGTTGCATGCTGTCATATATCCATATCTTTTTCTAGATTTGAAACTTTCGTGACTGCAAGGATTCATACTCTTAGTTTTTTCGGTAAAGTCACGTAGGTAAAAAATGAAATTAAAATTCATTTTAATTTCAAGTAGGTAAAAAATGAAATTAAAATAAATTTTAATTTCATTTTTTACCTACGTGACTTTACCGAAAAAACTAAGAGTATATATCCATATCCACACTGGTGCACGATTCACACCATACTTTGGTCCTTAACCCTTTGCCATTCCGAGAAGACTGCAAGCTGCAGGGTCCGTCCCATTCATCGCTGAATTTCGGAATGCACAAGTGGTTCAGCGTTAAATTTATTTCGAGAGGCATAGCTCCATTGTTTTTAAAGACGTTGTACTCACTGCAGAGAACTGTAGCGACACGACCGCACTATGATAGCTGGCGCTAAACTGTGCTACATGCCCTGCATGGCATTGCGTGAACCTCAGTACCGATAAAGTTATTTTATTTTTTCTTCTGGTTCTGTTTTGATGATGTACACATGTCATCACAACGGAATTTGAAGAAAAACTGATGATGTGATACTCCTAGGAGCTATCTTGCTCCATCAAAAATGTACTGCTATAAAATTATATTGCAAATCTTGTCGTTAATCTTTTGCCATTCATTACATGAACAAGCAGTGTTTAATATGATTTGCATGCCCTTCAGGTGTATGATGGTGTAGTGGCTTTGGAAAAAATATAATTGTTCCATTTGAATCAAATGGATGATTATTTAAAAAAATAATGAGCATGTAAAATATGCTAACAATCAGTATTGTATTTGGAAACAATTATCATTGCAATAGATATGCCAGATTTTTTTTATGGAACAGTTTTTGAATATGTCTGAGCTGGCATGTCTCTGTAGGTAGCGCCCTGTAGTTTTCGAAACAATGGACATGGTAGAAAGTAAAATAATCAAAAGGTAAAGTAATAAAAAGGAAAGGGATTTATGAATTGGACATTAGTGATGTAATAATTCACTGCCTTCTTGATCATATTTGAGTATACTAATTTGAAAGGCGCTGTATAAAACTTACTTTATTATATTTATTTTAATGATTCTAGGACAGGATTTGATTTACAAATCAGTTTTGTGTATAGAGAATCACATTAGCTGCATGTTTTTCGTGAACCAATAATCTACACTTCAGTATTGTAACAAAACACCTCTTTAATGCACAAAGGCATTGTGAGTGTAACAAATTCAGTCTAATTCATTACATCCCTGTTGGACATATGTGCTCTAAAGAATATTGCATATATACAGTACAGTATGTAAATGTAGAGCCTGTTTTATCAGTCCACTACCTCATGAGGGCCTCTTCACGCCGTGCGGGTTGTAAAAGTTATTTATATTTTGTATATTGGTTAATAATCATGGTGCTAAAAAAAGGTGACATGTTTATCCATTTTTGTTGTGCTCATAAAGTTTGTTATTCTCAGCCATCAGACGCATCACACTTATGACCCAGTGTGTGACACTCCAGTCACTATAAAAATAGGTTTTTCCCCCTTTTTCTGGCAACAAAACTGAAACCTTCTTACAAGGAATCATGTCTGCATTAACCACAATACTTGTGGTCAGAATGCAAACAAAACACATACTCTGATAATTTATGCATTGTCCTTGAAACTAAATGGTCCACACCAGAGACATCTTTCTTTTGAGCCTCGTCTCAAACGGTGTTAGACCAGAGGATACCAAAGGAGTACAACTCAAACACAATGCACGATCAGAGTAATGAGAGCTCGGGGGGAACATATACATCATGGAACCTCCTTTTTCAGTACCAAAATATAAGAATAAGTTTTCTCCTTTTCTCTGGCACCAAAACTCCAGTCACTCTCTTTAAGTCATGCCACCATATCTCTTACAGGTGGTGAACGGCTGTAGCGAAGTGTGGCTATCTGCATGTCGTGAGCTGGGCTGGCGAGTTCCGGATGAGTGCAGCACGCAGGATGGCCGCCACTGGAAGTGCGCCTACATCCAGGCCAACCGGCGGCTGCGTCAACTGCGAAAGCAGCAGGCCTTTGAGACCTCCTCGCTTCTGGGACACAGTGCCCGTGTCTATGCCCTCTACTACAAAGATGGTCTACTGTGCACAGGTAAACTAAACTAATGACTATAACCATGTTTTATTTTACCAGGTAAGGCCCACTGAGCTACATAGCGCTTTTTTAGAAGAGACGTGGCTATAAATCATAGACCAACGAAGTGGCTTATCATGTAGGAATTTTAGCAGCCAAATACTCTAAAAACAAGAGGACCTGGAGAAAAAAACCACATGACCACAGGAGAATATGAAAACTCAATATACAGGCATCGGGGTCAGGATCAAACTCTCGACCTGCATACCAGGCGAGGGAGTTAACATCTTGTGACCTTGGCACCACAAAAGTCACAGGGCCTTCATGAGGCGACCAGATGTATTGATTTGGCTGGGACAGACTTGCTTTAAGGAAGGCTCTCCCATTGTCTGGAAGCTTGTGAAAATCTTGATTTTCTTTCTCAGTTTAAGATTTTATTGCCTCGTGCTCAATTCACGGTATGTGTAAAGGGTGGGCCTACCTGAGTTGTGGGTGGGACTAGCAGAGTAGTTGGTGGGGCCTATGATCGGTAGGGTGGCCAACAGAATGGGTGAGGCCACTGTGGGCAGGGATAGTAATTGAGTGGGTGTGACCGGGTAAAATTGGGTGGGGCTGAACGAGGGAGGACTGTGAGCTCAACCATGTCTCCTGATTCACCCTCGTAAATTTGTTATCCTAAGGTCTTCATGCTTGGATATTTATGGTGCTCTTTTGGCAGGCTTGGGAGTTGTTGTGGGACCAGTTCCTTTAACAACTACTCAGCTGTGTTGCCATTAAAATATACGAACAATAACTAATTTGAATCAAACTTGCCATGAATGTTTAAGTTGAGAAACTTCCAATCGGAGTTGTCTCTTTCATCGTAGTTTCCTGACTAGAGCTTTATGAACGTTGTCACGTGTGCCTTATTCTTTTTATTCCCTGTATCTTAAATACATTAAATTAAAACAGTGTACTGGATCTGTATATTTTTTTACCAGGTTATGAGTGTGACATTTTTTTGAAGACCATATCAATAATTATAGATGCTGCGGTGTTATATTTAGCACCTGGTTAGACTTGGAATCGAGAGATTCCCTGTTTGATTGGACCTTCTCGTGCCGCAGTTGAAACCATGTGCATTTTTTTACTGGTAGGAACTTCCTGGTTACACCAGCCCACAGGGGATTATTTTGTCCGTCCGTCGTGCAGGGAGGGGCTGGGTGGGGTGGGCAGGGGCTGGGTGGGGGGTGGGAGGGGTGGGGCTGGGTGGGGAGGGGCTGGTCACCCCGTGGTGCCCTTATAAAACTCAACGCCGGCTTGTGCCCGCCCTCAAAGTCGGGCATTTTTGCGGAATACACCACGCCGCCGTTGACCCTGGCAATTGACTGAGCAACCCAACGTTCCTACCAGCTCCCTCCGCAGGAATGTGTTTCCACCTCTTCTCCTCTGTCCACCCAGCAGTATAAATGGGTATATCGCAGTTCGGTGATTGGCACGTTGCATGTGGTGGGATAGAGTATGGGTATTCCTACTTTTTCCAATGTTTCACCAGCATGGTAGATGAAGCAAATTACCCCCTCGTATGTATGTATGTATGTTGAACTTTTTTCACACCGTATGTAGCCAGTTGTGCTCATCGGATGTGTTGGTCTCTTGAGTTCCATAAAATGGAGGCCTTTTTTGCCAGCATTGCCATGAGCATACTGGCATGCAAGGCTATCTGCACATTTATCTTATAAATGATTTTCTCTGTCATGCTATTCTAGATGGTCAATCTGATATCCAGCATTGAGGTTGATATGCTGAATTATCAGGTAAAAACATGAATATAATAAAATCGACTTATACACATGAACTGCACTTCATAAGCTTCCAAATGACATGTTGTTCATTGGAGTTGTTAGAGCGGTCTCAGAGTTTTCTGGACAACCTGATGAGCAGTTTTTGTAGATTTATGAATGTAATTTACGCATGCAGTGTATGTATTTTTTATAACTGCTTACTCTGCGTCGGCGGTTCTCAAACTATTTCACTTATCCACCAGTAGTTCAGCCTTTCACGTTTACCAGTTTCTTCTGTGTACGTGTTAAATAACATGCATCGCTTGCCTCTACATTTATAAGACATTTTTAAGTTGTATTCTGGGACAGGATGTCAAAATCCAACCCTCGAAAATCTTTGCGACAGCAGTCAGATATTTATTTTGGACGTGATGAGTCATTCATATTTCAACATTAAAAGTGACAGGAGTGAGGTCGGATATATATTATCCTCTAAAAAAAAAAAATCGATGTTTATTCTTTAGTCCGCTTCGGCAGGGTTTTATCAGGTGGAACCATAAACCAGAAAACATAAGCACAGTATAATATAATCCGCTTGATGGCATTTGGAAGTAAATATTGACGTCACGTATATAGATTATCTTTTGGAAAAATGCATTTAAAAACATCTGCTACAGCTTTCACATTTGCCCTTGAGGTCAATGCTATTAAGTAGTGCTGCTGTTTATTACAATCCAGCATTGCATGCATGTTCAGTCCAATTTTAAATGCCTAAGTTACATATGGTGCAAACATTAAATGTCATTTCAATTTGCTCTGAGGCGGAATATCAAAGTTGTTTGTTTGGCCCTGTAGTCTTTTATTCATTTACTTTTGTTCATTTGCACTCGCTCAAAGAAATGTCAGATGTCAAAACATGTTGTTTTGTGATTAGCATTTTTATTGATACATGTTAAAACGTCGGCTTATTTCCATAAATACAGGTAGATCACTATTAGCAGAGTTAATCGTCAGACCAGCAGAGGGCAGTGTTTGATAACGAATTAGGCAATACACGTATTCCGATTTACAGAAAGGGATGCGTTCTTCAAAAAACACGTGATGGGAATGAATTTTCGAATTAATTTGGCACAAGAAATTAGGGATGTCTTTTGGACAGTCATTCCAACTCTACTGCTAATCTACAAATATATCACTTTTTTACAATACAAAAATAGTAAAGAACATAAACATTAAACTATAGAATAATATTTTGATTTAAAGCTTTCGTGACTGCAGGGATTTATATTCTTGGTTCTTTCGGTAAAGTCACGTAGAAGGAAAACAATAAAATAATAAATATAAAAAATAAAATTCTCACGACGTTTCGACTGCAACACAAGCAATTATCATCAGGTGTGAAATCCACAGCAAGAAAATTTGTGGATTTGTGGATTTCACACCTGATGATGATTGCTTGTGTTGCAGTCGAAACGTCGTGAGAATTTTATTGTTTTATATTTTTATTTTTTTATTGTTTCCCTTCTCCGTGACTTTACCGATAGAACGAAGAATATAGATTAATAATTATTTTTAAACAACAATAAATAACCCTGTCAGGGAACTCACGTCACAGGTGATGTGCAAGCATTACTGTTGCACTCTAGGGATGCCATGACACTGTCGTGGATAGATAACGCAGCCTCCCGGGTGGTCATTGTTTGATCTCATGGCGTGTGCTCTGTGTAATTTCGTTCATGCTGAAATTCGATTTTGTGAATCGACAAGTGTCCACAATTTGTCGATTGCATTTACACAAAAGTTTGTAAAACCGAACGTTTGTAAATCGAGGGATACCTGTACAGGTAGCCCTCGCCTTAAGTCAGTTTGACTTATGTCAATCCCCACTTAGGCAAGTCGCCAATTTCCACCCGTGGTATTACTTGTGTCGGTTAGAACTCACACTTAGGGCACGACGCTGATTCAGGCGCCGGTTCTGCACACAAACAAATATACAGTACGATTTAAAGCTTTCGTGACTGCAGGGATTCATTTTCTTGGTTCTTTCGGTAAAGTCATGTAGAAGGGAAGTAATAAAATAATACAAATAAAACACAATAAAAATAATTCTCACGACGTTTCGGCTACAACGCAAGCAGCCGTCTTGCGTTGTAGCCGAAACGTCGTGAGAATTATTTTATTGTGTTTTATTTTTATTATTTTATTACTTCCCTTCTACGTGACTTTACCGAAAGAACCAAGAAGATGAAATATACAGTACGTTGCCTACTTAGTGTGCCTCCCGATGTGCTCCGGTGTGAAACCTCTCTGCATCCTTAGTGACTTTTTTTCAGCATTTTTTTATTAATTTAATCCTTTAAAATTACTGATAAAAGGAAAGGTCAGTGCTCTAGCAATGGTGTTGAAAAGAAACGTAGCAGAAAGGCCACGACTGTAATCAGTCCAAATAAGCCAGAAATCAGCAAGAATCGGGTTAAGAACTTTATAAACACTATTATTGTAGCTTTAAATCGAAAAAAAACCTATTATTGTACTTTATATATTATTCATGGTTGTGTTCATATCTCGTTGCATATCGGACCCTTGGTCAGGAATGTAACCACCGAGTATGTAGTTTATCTCTGAAAATCGGTCTCGACTTACGGCACATTTTCTTGGAACGTAATCTGACCCAAAGGCTTGAGGAGCGCCCGTAGTAGTTAAATTCAGTAGACTAAAGAAAGCCATGCAAACACCCCGATTCTCCTGCACATATCCCATGACCGCACACAACAAAACTGTCTCCGACAGAGCCAACCGGTTTTATCTTACTCGTTGAAGTGTACAAGTAATAAATGACAAATTTTGCATCAAATTTCACATTTTTATCGGAGCAAACGATGCTTGTGACACGTTGGCTGTTACAGCATGTATGTACAGTAAAACCTTGGATTTCGAGTAACTTGGTCTGCGAGTGTTTTGCAAGATGAGCAATTTTTTATATAAATATTAATTTGGTAAATGAGCGAGGTCTTGCAATACGAGCAGTGCGTGTATATGCTTTGTCTGCCGAGCGTCACGTGATCACAACTGATGTACGAGTGCTTTGATATACGAGTGCTTTGGATTACAAGCACGTTTCCGAAACGAATTATGCTCGCAATCCAAGGTTTTACTGTATTTTTTTACTCCTGTGTCCATATGCGCGAACGTGTTTGTATGCATCACTGTAATGTATCTATTTATATTATTTTATTATTTCCCTTCTACGTGACT